CGGACGCTGAAATCGCAGACGATGGAAGCTCCCGATTCCGGCCTGCCTGTACGCTTGAAAATGCGTAACAGCTTTATAGCTGGTTCCTCTCCAGCTTTAACTGAACCTGTGGCAAAGTCCTGCAAATTCTGAGTAAGGCTCTGCCAAGGAGATGCCGTGTGCTCCTTGATGGGGGTGGCTCTCCCAGCCCGTCTGAGGATGAGTCCCGCTCCTGACAGCTCCACGGAGCAGCGCAAAGAAACCGCTGCACAGGCAGGAGGGAGGAAATCCGTTTCTTGGAGCAAGTCAAACATAGGAGGGACCGCTAGAGTCGGGACTCGCTCCTCCTTCCCGTGTCACGCAGCTCCGGGCTCGACACGGCGGCAGCTCCGAGGTGCAGCACGTGTCCCGAGCACCTACACGAGGACAGTTGCAAGCCAGTGTGACCGGCCGTGCGTAGAGTCCGTTGGGCAATGGAGGGGAAGGTTATCACAGTTCAAAAATATTCCTCTAAAAATGTGTAAAAACGGGTTTCCAAACAAGTAAAAAAAACCAAAGCTATTCACTGAAAAGCCCCAGGAGAACAGAGTCTGGACAAGCCCCGTCAGCAGCCAGCGCGCAGCAGGCGCCTTTCCCAGTTCAGCGCACCAGTGCCCAGCAAAGCCGTGCCCGCCAGGGCGAAGCCGTCGCTCGTTGCTGCACTGCAACGCGCAGGCACACCATCGCGCCCAGATCGACCCGATGCACGCTCCAGCTGGACGTCCTGGTGTACGACGGTCTGTGTCCGCTGCAGCTTCATCCGCCAGCTGCCCCGTGCAGGCTGGATTCCAGCGTCGGTGCCGGACGTGCACCCGGGCACGCGATTAACAGTGCCGCTCTCGGGACTTGTTCTGAAAGAAGCCCAGCAAGGAGAAAGCGCCGGCGGCAGCGGTTACGAACCCAATGGCACCGATGGCTCGGTTGGCCTGCAAGAAAGAAGCAAAAGGCAGGCTGAAAACAATCAGGGGCTTTGTCTTTCCTGAGCACGGACGCTGCTATTGATGCAGCTGCCAGGGGAAGGCAACCGGCACCTGTGAAGTCGGGCACGGCTCCTGTTAGATGGATGCATCCCACTGGTGTGAGACCCATTGCAGCTCCGAAGTACCCACTCCTGCTTGACAGGCCTGACACCAGAAGGAGCTTGACTGCACGCAAACCCCTGGATAACTCCAGCGTTTGATCCCCACCGAGCCCAGAGGCACAGCCAAATCCCGAGACGTACATACACATGCCAGACCCAGCAGCGGCCGCCGCACGGGGCTTGGACCCCCTCTTATAAATTGCCACGAGGAGCTGATGTGTCTAGGCCTTGTAGCTTGTATCCCGACAACCCAAGTCACCCAGACCCACATCAATACTGAAGCCCCTGCTAGACGTTACATATATTTAGCAATAAACGTGTGCAAAGCAGTGATGGCACGATAAAAATGTCTGTCCAACTATAAAAAGAGGCAACCAGCTTGAAAATGCGTAACAACTTTATAGCTGGTTCCTTTCCAGTTTTAATTGAACCTGTGGCAAGGTCCTGCAAATTCTGGCATGCGCGGCCTGCTCCTGGGTGCCCCCCCACAGGGCTGGGGAAGGTGGACGGGGAAATAGGAGCAGCTCCTGACTGGGCAAGAAGAGCCGGGCAGAGCCGTCCACGTGCACGCGTGCACCATGCACCCCCACGTGCACCGTGCGGCCCCCCCCGCCCCACGTACCTGCTCGGAGACACCCTCGCCGTAGCGCAGCAGCGTGACGAAGTGCTCGCAGTTGTTGCCCAGCAGGTCGTAGGAGACCTCCTGGCCGATGAGGAACTCGGCGCGCCGGATGATCTCTTCCACGGGCAGGGGCGTGTAGGCGTCGTCGTACTTGTTGTTGATCTTGTACGTGTCGCTGCCCACCACGTCCTTCAGGAGCTGCATCTTCACCAGCGCCTTGCGGCTGAACACCGACTTGGCGCTGGCCAGGGAGGCCGCGGCCCCCTCGTCTGGGGAGGCAGAGACGGGCTGAGGCCGACCCGGGGCCGGTACAGCACCCAGCTGTGCTAGCTCCGATGCCCAGCCGGCGCCATGCACCCCTGGGACCTGCCGGCCCTGCATCTCATTGCAACTAGCTCCCCTGGGCACAGCGCCGCTGGGACAGACGGGCTCATCTCTGCGTTGGTGCCCAGGAAGGACGAGGCGAGGTTATGGGACATGCCAAAGGCCACGTAACATCCAGCAGCGGTGCCAGGAGCCCTCTGCTGCTCTGCCTTCAGCATGCAAAGCCCCAGCAAGGCCGGGAGGCATGGCCACGTCAGCTGGGAGAACGTGCTTCCTCCCGGGCAGAGGAGGAGCGGGGCAGCTCTTACCTACAGGCGCCACGTTGATGACGTACCCGTCCCCCAGGTACAGCGCCCAGTGCTGGTAGGCCGGCCGGAAGACCTCGATCAGGTCCCCGGGCTGAGGGTTGCCAGGGTAGGTCACGCTGAAGCTGTCGTTAGCTGCCATCTGCAAGGGGAGGCAGGGAGACGCCGGCTCAGCCTGGGTTTCCACCCGATCCCGTGGCGTGGGGCGAGGCGCCTGGGACAGAGAATTCACGGGAAGGGTCAGGCCGTGTCCTTATAACCCCCCGGCCCATCCGCCCCCCACAGCTGGGCGAGAACACCCCACCGCCGCTGTGACGGCTCCTCCCGGCCCTCGACGGCA